ACAACACACACTTTGATGAGGAAAACAACATAGAAACAACTACGTGCACACAAGATATATAGTGCAAATGGGAGATACTCTTGGGGGAGGGAAGGAGAGTAAAAGGCTTCCTGCAAAAGGTGGCAATTGAGCTGTGTCTTAAAGGGAGCCAAGGAATTAGCGAGGTGGAGGCAAGAAGGGAAAGCATTCTAGTTATGCGAATAGCTAGAGAAAAAGCCCAGAGCCTAGAGATGGGAGTATGATTTTACAAGAAGCCATCATGGCTGGCTATAGGTTGTAAGGAATGAAAGGTAAGAAAGCTGGGAAGGTAAGAAGGGGTCAGGTTGTGAAGGGCTTAAAAAGCCAAAGAGAGAATGTTATATTTCAGCCTGGAGGTAATAGGGAGCCACTATCATTTATTGAACAGGGCTTGAATGTGGTCTGACCTATGCTTTAGGAAAATTACTTTGACAGGTGAGGTGAGCATGGATTGAAATTGGAAAAATTTGAGGCAGGGAACCAATTTGGAAGCTGTTTCTAATAGTCCAGGTGGGAGATAATGAAGGCTTGAACTAAGGAGGTAACTATATAATTTCAGAGAATGGGTCTAATTCAAGAGATGTTGGTAGCTAGAAATATGGTTGTAGACACAATAGGATTTAATAACTGATGAGATGGGGGGAGGTAACTGTGATGGGGGATTGAGGATGACACTGAAATTGTAAGTCCAGGTACCTGAGAAGATTGTAGTGTCTCAACAGCAAGAGAAAAGTTGGGAAAAGGGGAAAGATTGAGTTTGAAATGCCCGCAGGACATACAATTTGAGGTGTCCAAGAGTCAGCAGGTGATGCTCCACCGAATCTCAGAAGAGAGTTTAGGATTGGATATATGGTTCTGGGAATTATATGCATAATTATGATAATTGAACGCTTGGCAACAGATAACACAGGAGCTGATGTAGAAGGAGAAGAACAGAGCGTAGGACAGAGCTTTGGGTGACACCCAAGGTGTGACCTGAGTGTGGATTCAGCACAGGAGAATGAGAAGGAGTGCTCAGTTAGGTAGGAGTACTAGGAGAGAAAAGCATTTGGAAAACCTAGAAAAGAGAACAGATCCAGAAGAAGAGGATTATCTGTCCCGTCCCGCGGGACATCAACGGAGGTCCGGACCTGTAAAAGAAGGAGGGGAG